GAATGGAGAGCCGGAAGCCGCTAAGCCATTTGATGGGTTTACCCCACCCAAAACAAACATAAAATAAACATGCTAAGATGGGTATTAGCCATCTCTCTCTCTCAGGATTTCTTTTTTCTGTTTTTCAAAATGTACAGAGAGGCAGGAGGGATAGTACAGTGGGTAGGGCTGTGCCTTGCACAGGGACGACCAGATTAGATTCTCAGCATCCTATATGGACCCCAGAGCACCACTGGGAGTAGCTCCTGATCACAGAGCCAGGAGTAAACCCTGAATGTCACTGGGTGTGGCAAAAAAAAAAAAAAAACTAAACCCCTCCCCTGCAGAGAAAGTTCACACTCTAGAAAGCTTTAAGTGACTAAGGATAAAGAAAATTGAAACTTTTTTGAAAAGCGTGTGAGGGAGTATGAAAAAAGCCCAGTCATTGCTGTCAGAAGGCAATGCTTCCACAGGGGAGAAGTCTAGAAGTAGGGGCCAATATGATACAGGAGGTACAGTAGGGTATTTGCCTTGTACTTGGCTAACTCAGATTTATTTTATGTTTTTTTTTTCTTTTTGGTTGACACCCAGCGATGCTCAGGGGTTATTCCTGTTCTGCACTCAGCAATCACTCCTGGGGCGGTGTTTGGGGGACAACATGGGATGCCACGGATCGAACCCTGGTCGGCTGCGTGCAGGGCAAACCCCCTACCCACTGTAATATCACTTCGACCCCCCACCCCCCAGGTTTTTTTTTCTGTTTTTGTTATTTTTTTGTTTGTGTTATTTTTAAAGGAGAAATTATATTCATTAAAAAATTGGTGAAGGAGCTGGAGCGATAGCATAGCAGGTTAGGGCGTTTGCCTTGCACAAGGCTGACCTTGGTTGAATTCCCAGCATCCCATATGGTCCCCTGAGGACTGCCAGGAGTAATTCCTGAGTGCATGAGCCAGGAGTAACCTTTGTGCATCGCCGGGTGTGATTCAAAAAGAAAAAATAAATTGGTGATACATTTTAATTCTAATTTTTGCTAACGCTGTGTCAGGGAACTGAGTAACTTTATTATGACTTTATCATTAAGAGTCTTCACAAAGGGCTGCATAACCTCACCCATTCTTTTGCGGGAACCTTCGATGCTCACCTTTTGATCAGTACCAGTGATGCTAACTTCTCTCTGTCCATGCGGCTCTGAAGCTGGTAAAGAATCTGAGCACTGAGTTTAACATCTAAATGGAATATTAGTAAAACCCTAACCCATTCCTTTTGGGGTTGTAGATATAGCATTAAAATGAATCCTCCTGGGAAGAAAATGCATTGCCATGAGATTGTTACTGTCTTAATGATTACCACAATCATTATTGTCATCACCATGGGTTAACTTGCCAATAATTATTAAATAAATCAGCAAGAGAACAGAGAGGAGAGAACCAATGCTTTCTCTCACTGTTCTCTTTTATGGGCACCTGGCAGAAGTTTTGACAATACTATGATAGAATGAGGGGCTGCAGTGATAGCACAGTAGGTAGGGCGTTTGCCTTGCATGCGGCTAACCCGGGATCAACTCCTCCATCCCTCTGAGAGCCCGGCAAGCTACCAAGAGTATCCCGCCCGCACGGCAGAGCCTGGCAAGCTCCTCGTGGCGTACTCGATAGGCCAAACACAGTAACAAGTCTCACAATGGAGATGTTACTGGTGCCCAATCGAGCAAATCGATGAACAATGGGAGGACATTGCTACAGTGCTATGAGAGCTTAACAGTACATGCAGGAAGCCTACGCAGATTTGATCCCTGGCCCTGCATATGGTTCTGAAGCACAGTAAGGTACAATGCCTGAATGCTGAGTCAGGAGTACTCCTGAGCATAGCTGAGTGTGGCCCCCAAAATTGGCAAAGTAAAACTGTCTAGGATCGCTGGCACAGTGAAACTAAGACAATACAAAGAAAAACAAAGATGCCATTTAACTTAATTCAACCGTCATATTTGTTTACTAAATGAAAACAGGTGTTCACTATATTGCACATTTTTCCATTTATTAGGAGTGAAAAAATGAATTTTAAATAAAGTAACTTGTAAAGTTCTCAAGAAATTCTCATTAATGTGATTATTTTAGCAGTGATTTCAGTCTAATTATTTTCCTTTCAAACATACTTAATAGATTTTTAATTTTGTTTAAAGATTATATATATATTTTTTGTAATGTAGGGAGCTGGAGTACAGTGGGCAAGGCATTTACCTTGTGTATGGCTGAACTGGGTTCGATCCCCAGCATCCCATATGTTTCCTAGAATCAGTAGTAAGCCCTGAGCACTGCTGGGTGTGGCCCTATAACCACATAAATAAATATGTAAGCTTGGGGGTTGATTTTGGGTCACACCTGACCATGCCCATGGTTCACTCCTGCTCTGCACTAAGGGATCACTTCCGGCAGTACTTGGGGACCATATGGGATGCTGGGGTTGAAACCTGAATAGACCGAGTATAAGAAAAATGTCCTACCAACTGTTATCACTCCAGCCCCCTTAATTTTTTTAAAAATTGTTTCTTAGCAACTGTGGTTTTTATTTCTTTGTCTTTTTATTCATAGTTTCTGTATTTGTGAAAAATGTCAGATACATATGAAATTATAGGAACATCCTGACTGGAAAAATTGCAAACTGAAAAATGAGAAAGCAAATTTACTGAAGTGAACATGAAACGGGCCAGAGTGATAGGACAGGAGGTAGGGCTCTTTGCCTTGCATGTGGCCCACACGGGCTAAATCTTTGACATCCCATACAGTCCCCAGAGTACCACCAGGAGTAATTACTGAATACAGAGCCAGGAGTAACTCCTGAGCACAGTTTTTTGTCCCCCAAACGAATGAACGTGAAAATGCCAATAAACATACTTATATTTCTTTGAAACTCAGAATCACTGAAGATTTAACAATAATAAAAATTTTTAAAAGGTTATTGTTCAAAATTTTGAATTTTCCCACTGTGTGTCCGTGTAGGGCTTTGGGATGGGAAAGGGGTTTCAGGGCATAGTCGGCTGTGCTCGGGAATCATTCCTGCCAGTGTTCAAGATTCTTGGCAGATATTTGAACCAGAGTCAGCTACATACAAGGCGAGCTCCTTAGCCATAATAGCTCTCTTTAACTAACACATTTCTAAATCTGTTCATAAAAAGAAGGGGGCCTAGGGCTGGAGCGATAGCACAGCGGGTAGGGCGTTTGCCTTGCACACGGGCAACCCGGGTTCGATTCCCAGCATCCCATATGGTCCCCTGAGCACACCGCCAGGAGTAACTCCTGAGTGCAGAGGCAGGAGTAACCCCTGTGCATTGCCAGGTGTGACCCAAAAATTAGGAAAAAAAAAAAGAAGGGGGCCTAGAGGAATAATACCTTAGGGGTCTGGTTACCCTATAAACTTAAGACTGAGTTTGTTTCCCATATTCCCATGCAGGCCTCGTGCTATCTTTTTAGCTCTGCTGTTTTGGGGGCAACCCTGTGCTCTATGACACCATTGGCAGCGGTTGACTTTAGGCCGTGTAGTGGTCAAGGTGTGCGAGGGCACCAAAGCAAGGTACACCCCAAAGAATTTGAGAGCAGGTATCTGACTCCTGGCTCTGTGCTTAGGGATCAGATGCAGCTTTGGGGATCAAAAGCGTCTGTCGTGGGGCCTGAGCAATAGTATAGTGACCAGGGCCTTTGCCTTGCACATGGCTGACCCAGGTTGAATACCCGGTATCCCATGTGGTCCTCAGAGCACCACCAGGAATGATTCCTGAGGATTGTCCGGTGTGACCCAAAAAGCCAAAAAAAAAAAAAAAAAAAAAAAGTGTGTCGCAAGGAAGACAAATACACCTCAGCCTCAGTAACATCTCTCCAGCCTGATAGAATTTTTTTAAATTAAGACTTTTGAAAGTAGTAGGACATCACTCTTTTACATATGCATTTCTGCATACATAAAATAGAAAACTAGCTGTGAAAAAAACGCTTGGCCTATGTGGCAAAATATTTGGTTTAGGGTCAGGGAGAGGGCATACAAAATACACATGCTCTGAATATTGGGAGGGCCTCTTAAATACCCCCCCCCAATTGAAGCAAAATGTGCCAAAGATAGCTTAAAAAACAAAATTAAGCAATTTATTAAATTTTTGCTGAGAGCTTTGTAACTGCTCTCATGGTGATTCAATAAATAAAATTATAAAAAATGAACAAAAAAAAAAGTAAGGTGGAGTTCATGCCCAATTCTATCAGCTCATCAGTGGCTGAAAAAATAGCAGTACTCCTACTTTGAAAAAAGAAAAGTTTTTGTTTTCAATATAGTGTGAACTTCATTAATGTGAAGTCTGGTGGAAATTTAACTGGAAAGACTTTCAAAATACAGTAAATGATGACAAGTTACTTCTGAATGGCTCGATACCATTTCTTTTTCTTTCTTTCTTTTTTTTTTTTTTTTTGGTTTTTGGAGCACACCTGGCTGTACTCAAGGGACCATATGGGATACTGGAAATTGAATCTGGGTCTGCTGCTTGCAATGCAAGGGACTTTTCCACAGCAACATCTCTCTAGCCCCCTGAAACCTATTCTTTATGGTATGGAATCAAAAGTGTACTTAATCATTTCTAAAAGTACATTGGTAACGAGAGGCCTAGAGTAAGAACTCAAAGGACTGAAGTAGTTTGCATGTGGGAGCCCCCTTGCACCACATGGGTTCTAAGCACTTAGTCAAGGGTAACCTGAAGTGATCACTAGGTTTGGCTGAAACAAACAAAGAAAAATAAAGGTACATAAGCAAACTATAATGTGGTGAAGAGATCACTAATTGAGACCAGGGAAAGATTACACTCTATGTAATATGAAGGCAACACATGTTCTCACATCCTAATAAAAACACCCTGACCACCCCATCAGCCATGCTAAGACACCTTCCCTGGCATTTCCCTAAGTGTAATGAAAATTACTATGTAGTTCACTGTTGTTATTTAATATGTGGCCTAAATCTATTTAAAAAAATAGCAAACACAAAATACTTACCCACTTTGCAACTGGACACCCTTGAGAGCTTTTTCCTTCTTTTCCCGTATACACTACTACTTCTAGCCTTACTGCTTTTCCTTTTTGACCAAATCTAAATAGAAAACACAGTGAAGGAAAAAAACAATTGCAATGAACTGCAACAGAAACTTGAAAACTATACCTGTCAGCATCTTTGTACGCAAAACAGTCATTGAAGAGATTGGGGGCAAAAAAAAAACCAAATTCCTCATCACTTATTTTTGTTAAAAATGTACATTGATGTGGAAGAGAAGTCTATACTCTTATAAATGACCTAGCTCTGAGACAATAAAAGGATTATAAAGATCGATAATGATCAATGGGACTGTTTCTACCATTATACATTAAGACAAAAATGTATTTCTGAATTTTAACAAAATAGCCTGTTTTTGGTATCTTGTTGGGTGCCCAATGGCTCATGGGAAGAGTAATTTAGCAAAGAGACACCAGGACAGAATTATTTGCCTTGGATCTCAGAAACATCCAAATTCACCTCACATTTGTTCTCAGAGAAAACTTCTCTGCATTAAGGTGCACAGACAGGCAGAATTGTGACCGGGAAGCGTATTTCCTCACCTATTCTCCATGATTTCCCTGACAGCAGCAACATTTGGTCCTGCCCCAAGGTGTGTATAATATGGGCCTTTGTCTTTTTGTATACCTCGATCTGTGGAAGGAATAAGATTATTAGACCCAAGCTTCACAGAATTGCAGAGGGGCAAAAAGGGACTATTTTAAACTGAGTTTTTGTTGACTCCAAAGCATAAATGTTTCTTGAAAAGGTTTTGGTCAATTTTAATAATTAAAGTCTAAGACAATAGGCCCTTGAATTTATCTTGATCCTTTAACTCCTGTTCTTGATTTTAGTCACTCTCTTTCTTGGAATAAAGGATGGAAAAAACCTTTTAAGACGAGGGTCATGCTTATTGTCAAATTGAAATCTTGAAGATGTAATGTCATGATTACAATGTAAAAGCTAAGAAGGTTCTATAAGAGGGACAGGTTTGAATTGAGTACGTGGTTGTCAAGCAGGATTATAAGCATTTATGATCAGAGAGGGTAGGGAAGAAGGTGCTGTCCCTGTGCGGAGCCAAGCCTGGTTCTTTTTCTGGAAATGCATGGTGCACAAACACAGAACAGGAGCCAAGCACCTCTGGCTGTGATCCCAAAACCCAAAAAATCCCCCCAAATTAAAAACATGGGAAAAAATACTACTACTACTACTAATGCTATCACATAACAAAACTCACAGTTTTTAACTTCAGAGAATAATGTTTACAGTGTGAATTTTTATATGTGAATCATTTCTTTTTTTTTTCTTTTATTTTTGGGTCATGCCTGGCGATGCTCAGGGGTGACTCCTGGCTCTGCACTCAGAAATTACTCCTGGCAGTGCTTAGGGGACCATATGGGATGCTGGGAATCGAACCCGGGTCGGCCGCGTGCAAGGCAAACGCCCTACCCGCCGTGCTATTGCTCCAGCCCCTATTTCTTATAAAACAGAAAGTTTAGCCTGACAAAATTCTTTTGTTTGTTTTTGGGCCACACCTGGCTGTGCTCAGGGCTTACTCCTGGACATGAGCTCAGGGAATCACTCCTGACTGGGTGCACAGGACCTAATGGAGTGCCAGGGAGAGAAGAACCCAGGTCAGCCAAGGGCAAGGCAAGTGCCCAATCCACTCTATTACTGCATCAACCCAACGTTTTATTTTAAGTTGGAGTAGAAATTCTAACTAGGATCAGTTTGGTTCCACTGGAATAGACAGTATTTTGGGTTTAGCAAATGGCCTGTCTGTGTGTTTGGTTTGTTTTATGGTTTCTAATGATAGAGGCTTAGGAGAAAACACCAAGCCTAAAAAGCAAAGAGAGTCCCCTACAAAGAATTATGCCATCTAAAATGTCACTGGTGCTAAATTTGAGGATTTCTGATTCAGAGATTAATAATCAAAATTTTCTAATACATAATTATCTCCATGGAGATAAGATCTTCTCACTTGGAAACAAGGGTTCCACACAGAATGATCTGTTTCATTTTGGAGGAATCTCATAATAACCCCATATATACTAGTTATAGGAAGACACCTAAGTGACGTTACCTGAAATATACCTAGCTTATGGCAATAAGGACCATCTGGCTAGCTCAATTGCTAGGTACTCTTCGCAAGAAAAGGGTCTTCAAAAGGAGACAGTAACTCCTTCCATTACAGACTGGCTGTGAATGTCAACAGTACTGTCACTGTCACTGTTCTCCCATTGTTCATCGATTTGCTCAAGCGGGCACCACTAACGTCTCACAATAAACTGTGAGACTTGTTGTTACTGTATTTGGCATAACTAATATGCCACCAGGAGCTTGCCAAGCTCTACCGTGAGGGCGGGATACTCTCGGTAGCTTGCCGGGCTCTCCAAGAGGCATGGAGGAATCGAACCCGGGGTCGGCCAAGAGCAAGGCAAATGCCCTACCGGCTGTGCTAATGCCTTAGCCCTGCACAATATTTAAAAATTAATTTTAATTTAAAACTTCAAACTTTAAAAACCTGGACTAGGAGCCATTATCTCTTTTATCTAAATTGCTTTCAAGCACCCAATTTAACTCCAGTCATTACAATCATTTACAAGAAAGACTCTACTCAAAAGAGCCTAACCTTGGTACCTGGCAGGTGGAAAGCTGTCTAAACTGCTGAATCATCCGCAGAGAAATTGGAAAAAGTGTCAAAAGTATATTAGAAATTAAGAACTAAAAGCAATAAATGCCACAATTGTTTCAGTATGGTGATTTTTAAAAAATGTAATTTATATCAGCCACCTTCTTCTAGTGATAAATCTATCTCTATTCGAAGTGGATGGGCTGGAGTGATAGCGGTAGGGCATTTGCGTTGTGCACAGCTGGCCCGGCAGAGCTGGGTTGGATTCCTCTGTCCCTCTCAGAGATCCCAGCAAGTTACCGAGAGTATCTCTCCCACACGGCAAAGCCTGGCAAGCTACCCATGACGTATTCGATATGCCAGACACAGTAACAACAGGTCTCACAATGGAGACATTACTGGGCCCACCTGAGCAAATCGATGAACAACAGGAGGACACTGACAGTGATTAATTAATTTCTATTAATTTATTTTCCTAAATTTTACAACAGTATTAATGAAGTGACTTCATATATTTGAGCACTAACTAATCTTATATTTGACCATAGGAAGGGGACTAATTAGTATAGAACACTGATTCTGTACATTGGTTAGAAATGGGTCCATGACACAGTCATTAGTGTAAACCGAATATTTATAGGAAATCAGTATTTAGTGAACAATCTAATGGATTAATAACTCTGAGGCACAGAAATACTAAAACTGGTTAAAATTACAGTCTTTTCTATGTAAAAGAACAACTTTTACAAAGAAAAGAAGAAAAGCACTAAATACTATTTTTAAAAAAATTCTACGCCAGGTGATAATTTCAGACTTTTACCTGCATATGAAATTTCTCAAAATAACTAATGCCCTAAGCAAATCCCTTAGAATATGAAAATCCTTTAAAATTTAAGAATAAATTATAGGAGGTAGGCAGAAAGTTGGAAGATGCCTGGCATGCAGAAGAATCCATGAATCCTGGGCACCTCGTGGTCTTCTAGTATTGTGGGATATCATACTGGCATGCACCCTGGAACAATCTTCCCAGCATCAAGAACAACAACAACAAGAACAACAATGACAATGACAACAAAAAGAATAGGGATGGAGAGATGGCTTAACAGTTTCCTGAGTACTACTAGGAAGGACCTCTGCGTCCAAGAATAGCATACAACCCCCACAAGAATGGCTCAAAAACCAAAAGCAAAAAAAAAAAAAATCCACAAGCAAATAAACTAATGTTATTAAAAGGCCAGGGGTTGGAGAGAGTACTCTTGGTAAGTTTTTTGCCTTGAACACACGCAAACCAAATTAGATCCTCAGTACCCCTGAGCACTGCCAGGAGAGATTCCTGAGTGCAGAGCCAGGAGTAACCCATGAGCATCACCACATGTGACCCCGAAACCAAAAAATAAATAAACAGATGACTGAATGAGAGGCAATAGCAATAGGACAGTGGGTGGGACAATTGCCTTGAATGTGTTTAAATGAGGCTCGTACCCAGCACACCTGAACCTCACCAAGAAAGGTCCCTGAGCATAGAACCAGGAGTGATCCCTGAGCACTGAACCCAAAAACGTGGGTAGGGCTTGGGGAAGATAACATTTTTTACATATATAACAATGCGAGAGAATATTTTCCACTTGAGAAAGTGTCAAGTTCAAGTTCTACTCATCCACTTATTTATCTATGAAGAACAAATCAAGCTTTCCACGAAAAATGGATTGACTGTGACTTGGTCTATTTACCAGAATATGAATGGGGAAGTATATCATAAATTAAAAACAGGACAAGGCACTGGGCTAGGACTTAGCGGTAGAACTCATTCCCTTGTATGTCTGTAGTCTTGGGCTCATTCGGACTCTGGCACCGCAGTAAAATAATCTTATGCATTCAAAATATGTATGATGATGACACTCAGGTAGTTAAACCAAGAAACATACACACATACTTTAGTGCATGCATGCTTGCTCTTACCGGGACAATCACAGGCTGGCAACTCAGATTCTTTCATTGCAGACACAAAGTTTCTTGTCTCATTAGTAAAGTACTTCATGGCATAATCATTAAAATTTTGCTGAGCTCTGTCTTCGGGGGAGACCTCTGATGTTCCCACACTAGATGAATAAACTTCCTCTTCGCTTTTGCTAGAAACCACTGTAATTCCACCTGAAGTTACCACATTTGCAATCCTGAGAATTTGCGCTGGGTCTGGTAAGGGTGTCTCGGGAGAATTCTCAGTGACTGTTGGAAGCTTCTGGGGGTCGAGCTGGTCTTTGACATCCTGCTGGTACTTTGATTGCTCAATCCCAGCCATCCTATTAGCACACTGGTGAGCTAGAGAGGACTGGGGTAACGGAGACGTTTTCTGATTGACATTCACTGCTGGCTGTACCTGAGAATTAGAAACTCTTTCTGTAAACACCTGTCCGTTGGATTCCACTTTGATCTGGGTGATGGGGAGACTGTTCAATGATTCGACTTTTAATGTTTCTTCTTGTGCCAACTCAGAATAACGACGCTCAAATTTGATTTGGCTGCGTGGAGGAAACAATTTTTTCTGCTCTAATGCAGAACTTGATTGAGTCAAAGGTTTCAACACTTGGGTCAGGGGAGGAATTTTCCCCAATTGAATAGGAAAGTCATGGGAACCAAATTGACCGAATCGCTGAAATTTAGACGCTATCCAAATATCATGCAACTTAGTATACTCATAGGCCAATTGTTTCTTCTTTATCTGATCGTTTTCTTGACAACTCATGACTGTGGTCTTCTTTTTCCTCCTATCTCTCGGTGCAGAAGATTTTGCCTTTTTCTGAGTTGTGCTCTTCTGCTTGGTCAATGCTGAGCCAGGTTTATTTTGTGCGCTTGAAGGTGGTTTCTGTTGTATTGTACTCTTCTCCTTACTAGATTTTTGCTGTGTATTCTGTGGAACAAGGCTTGCTGGTGGACTTACAACGTTTTTCTTGTCTGGTTCTATATAATTGCATTTAATTATAGATGCAAGTTGTGTTAACTGTGTGGCCACATCTTCCTCGATTTTACTGTGAACAGTATCTTGATTTGGTGAATTATCCTTTGAATCCAACTTTTTATTAGCATCCAATGATGGGTGACAATACCCCAATTTGCTAGTTTTTGGTGTCAAATGATTCAAATATGTGGAACTGTCAAGGGTATTTCTTCCTTGGGAAACATTTTTATTGGTGTCAGTTTCAGATGAAGCTGAATTTGGTATAAAAAGAGAATCAGTGTCCTTTGAATACTCCTTGGATTTTGCAGGTTCCTGTTTAACAGCAGGGCTATTGGGTGACTTAGCTATGGGATTCTGGCCGTTAAATACCACCATGCTGCATGAATTTTGCTTTTCCAGTGGCGGACAGTGCTGACGGCTTTGATGCTCTTCATGCAAGTTGGGCTCCCGAAGGTCTTTCCTAACCGAATAGAGGAGAGCTTTACAGCTATTAAGCAAACTAGCTGTTCTCTGCTCCGTCTCTTCATCCTTCTCTGACTTCGATGGTGAGGAATTCTCAGATGTAGCTTCCGAAAGCTGTGTCAGAGCTTCGATGGCCACGACTTGCTCCAGCGTTAGCCTCCTGTCTTTCATGAGGGATAGAAGACTAGGCTGCATGGGAGATCCATCTTTTGGGTCTTTACTTGGTACCGTGTCTGGAGTTTTGGGATGAACACTTTCACTGTGTGTCATAGGGTGACTGTTGGTGTTGAAGTCGGAAGGATTTGGGAAAGATTTGCAGTTAAAGCCAGGCTTCTGGAAGACAGAGATGCCACTCCTGCCCGTGAGATGATGGCCTCTCTCATTAGCTGCTATGGAACTCATAGCATGGTGGTGGTTTGCAGGGGCTTTCAGGAATTTATTAGAATTGTTTCCCATTGCCTTGGCAGATTCATCCAAATTGGAGTTTGTAATGGACACATTGGTTTCAGTTGGTATGCAGTGCACATTTTTGATGCCATTTCTTACAGCTTGTATAAGTGAATTTTGAGGTTTAAGGAAGTCAGTAAGTAGGACTTTATTCTTGTCATTTTCAGCGGTTTTCCATTTTTCAGCTTCTGTCACCACTGCCCTGAACTCTCCCTGGACATGATCGGTTAACTGTGATGTTTTGGTTTGTGGCCACTGATCCACTGCGTTAGCCGCCTTGCTGCCTTCATTTTTAGTCACATTTTCATGGGGGCGTGGGGTCAATTCTAATCTTTGTTCTTCCCCATGACCACAGCTACTGTAGTCCATGGATTCTGACTTGAGGCCATTTACTGGTTTGTTGTCAAAATTTGCCTGGAACAGAAAAAAAAAATTCGTTCATATAAACTTATCAATATCTCAATAGTAGCCGGGGCCGGAGAGATAGTACAGCAGGTAAAGTGCTTGCCCTGCACGGAACCAACCCAGGTTCAATTCCGAGAGTCAGCCAGAAGTGATTCCTGAGTGCAGAGCCAGAGTTATCCCCAAACAACACTGGGGGTGGCCCAAAATCCAAAAGGTGAAAAATAAAATAAAAATCATTTAGAAAATGAAAGAAAATCTGAATACGAGCCAGAGTAACTCATCATATTTAACAGCGTCTAAATAGGAAGCCTGAAAAAAAATAATTTAAAGGGGCCGGAGCGATAGCACAGTGGGTAGGGTGTTTGCCTTGCACGTGACCGACCTGGGTTCGATCCCCAGCATCCCATATGGTCCCCCAAGCACCGCCAAGAGTAATTCCTGACAGCAGAGCCAGGAGTGACCCCTGAGCATTGCTGGGTGTTACCCAAAAAGCAAAAAAAAAAAAAATAAAATAAAGTAGGTAGGCCCAAACCAACCAAACCAAAACTTTTTTTTATAAAATTATTGTTGTTCAATGTACAATACTTATTAATCTAATGTAATTTGTACAAAAGGCGAAAGTCTGCACTGAAAAGTGTACAAACGCTAAGAAAATAGCTTATTGAACTCACAAAGGAAAAACCTACGTACTCAAATGAGTGAAGAAATTCCAGTCTACATGGGCTGGATCCCCAGCATCCCCTGTGGGTCCCTAAGCCTGGAGTAAGCCCTGAGCACAGCTAGCTAATTAGTTGCCATTTAAAACTGCATCATGCATAGGCCAGAGAGATCATAATGGCTGCAGCTTTTGCCTTGCATGCAGCCAACCCAAATTTGATCCCCAACAGGAGTGACCCTTGCACAAAGAAGCCTTGGCCACAAGATGCATCTCCAAAACCAAGAAAAGGAAAGACAAGTGTATAACCCAGCATCGGTAGGAATGCTCATCATAAAGTGCAGAAAACCCTACTTAGTTCTATAAAATTTTCTCACTTCGAGGAAAAACTTGTACCGAATTAGACTCATTGTCTAGTATCCCCTCTATTTCCAAGCACAAAAAGCACAACAATCTTTAACTTAAAATCTTAGGGGACAAGGAAAAAAGGAAGGGGGTAGAATGCATGTCTTGCAGTGTGATTGCTGGCCCCAAGGACAGCCATCTGAGCATTGCCATGTGTCACCTGGGAGGTAGCAGGGCTTGAGTCCTCCACATTGAACCACCAGCCTGTTTGGCTTAAAACGGCTAGAAGTGGTCCGAAGGTTCTCTGAGTGCTATTTGAGTGCACCCATCCAAAAAAATAAAAAAATCTCATCAAAACTAATGCCTGAAATGCAGGGCTGAGTACAGGCAAAGTACGCACTTAAGCATAGGGATACTTATTCAGACTACCCATTTCTTAATTCAGCTACGACAAGCCTAGATATGGATAGAGGTATGTTCCATTTGTCAATATTCAAAAATACATTGTCATGGTGGTGGTCAGTGCTCAGTCCTAGCACTAAGGCAGGGATCATTCAGGGCAGGCTGGTGGACTCTACACATTGTTGGGATCAAACCTGGGCCAGCCCAATGCAAGGCACCTTTCCCGCTGTACTATTTCTACAGCCCCAAAGTCATGTCATATATATATATATATATAATTTAAAATACAGATTTCCTTAAACCCCACTCCCAGCCCATTCCCAGTTATTACAAGAATCAGGGTTGCACAGCAGCTGATGATGTCTGTCTGTTGGCCCACCTGCCTACCAAGCTCACTGAACTCAGAGCCCTTACTGCAGCATGCCAGGTATGGCAGCGGGGCTCAGAATTCCTGGTACCCATTTCATTTCAAATGGCTGTAGTGAGAGCACTCAGGAAGCACATGCGTGATGCATGTTTTTGAGAAACGTCCCCATCCTTTTTTATGGGCAATTCCAAAATTAGAAACAAGACAACACTGTTTTTCAAGTTACTGATAACAACTGACCTAAGAATAACTTAATTATATAAATTATAATTATATGACAATTATATGATATAAATTAATAACTTTATAATATATACATATATAAGTACAAACACATATATACATATACACATGTACACATATTTTAATGTATACTCAAGGAAAAGTATAACTAGACTCCATTTCATGGAGATATGTATAATTACAAAAACCTTTTATCCATGCTTTGCATCATTTAAATAATGATTCAAAAATGTATTTTTTGAATTTATACATGTGAAAAATTGATAGAAATATTGCCATTAAGAAAGTTGAAATCAATTAATAGCTGGGTAATGTATGAACAATGCTGTAAGTATTCGCTATTCCTGCTGTAAGAACTCCCACAAATTTACCAAAAAAGGAAAGTGACTAAATAAAATAGCGAAGAAGAGACAGAATTACACTTGAGTGGAAATCATAGGACTCTTAGTTTTCTGGAGAAACTGGTTGATTAAACTAGAACTGAGACCAAATAATAACAAGTAAATAAATCTTATAGCCTTTGTTAAATACCAGGTATTCCAAATCCACTTTGCGTTCTGGTGAGGTCTGGGCTAGATGTCTAGGTGCCATCCCTGTGTCCGAGAGACCTGAGCCTGGAGGAGCCCCAGAGAACCCAGGGATATGGTACCAAAATTAAAACAATAAAAAAACAATAAAAACTAACAATGAAACTGGAAAAAGAATGGGGTAATCCTGATTGACGGTATTGGCTCTGTGTGTGTGTGTGTGTGTGTGTGTGTGTGTGTAAGAGAGAGCCTGGGTCTATGGTGGATTATAAGTTCTTGATGTGAGCACCTTAGTAAAAACTGGAAAGAAATTAAGTGAGGAATAGAGAGATAATACTGAGGATCCTCTGCATCTTTAAGGACCCCAGTTTGAACCCCGACATCATTTATGTGTCTCAGTACAGAAACAGGTATATTCCCCAGGTACTTCCAGGTACCTCTGCCCCTCTCAGAGAGTCCGTCAAGCTAGCGAGAGTAAATATCTCCCGCACAGCAAAGCCTAACAAGCTACCTGTGACGTATTGGATATGCCAAACACAGTAACAACAAATCTCATGATGGAGATGTTACTGGGCCCACTTGAGCAAATCAATGAACAATGGGAGGACAGTGCAGTGCAGTGCTACTTCCAGGTATGATCTAAAAAAAACAGGCACCACTATCAAAATAAATTCAAAAATAAAAAGTGAGCTTATAATTGTTTCCTTATAAGAATACTACGAAAATTCTGCCCTCCCATTGTTCATTGATTTGCTCGAGCGGGCCCAGTGACGTCTCCATTTTGAGACTTGTTGTTACTGTGTTTGGCATATTGAATATATTCTCAGTAGCTTGCCAGGCTCTCTGAAAGGGGTGGAGGAATCGAACCCGGCTTGGCCAGGCTACCTGTGCGCAAGGCAAATGCCCTACCACTGTGCTATCACTCCAGTCTAATTAAAAAAAAATAGTGAACTGGGAGAGCTGGTTCCATTATAAGAATATAATTTGTATTTACAATAGCTGGAAATAACCCAAGTGCCTGAGAACAGATGACTGTTAATGGAATCCTATGCAGCTGTTAGGAATAATAAGGTTATGAAATGTGCTTATAATGGATGGACATGGAGAATATTATGAAATCACACACATCAGCTGAGTGAAATGAGTCAGAAGGAAAGGTAAAGACATAGAATGATCGAAGTCATTTGTGGGATATAGAAAAAGAACCATAATACGAGACCAGTACCCAAGAACAGTAGAAGCAAGGGCCAGGAAGACTGGTCCATGGTTGGAAGCCTGCCACAAATGCTGTTGGAAAAGGCAATTGGGATAGAGAAGAGACCACCATGACAAAGATCGTTGGAAACGAACACTCTGGATAAGAACTGCAAGCTGAAAACAGACAAAGAAACGAATATGATACCTCTCAGTACATCAGTACTCAGAAGGGAGGATGAGGGAGAGGAAGAGGGAGAGGGGAAGGGGGAGGAGGGAGGGAGGGAGAGAGAGAGAAAGAGAGAGCCTAAAGTGGGGATACTGGTTTGGTGATGGGGAGAGGTGTGGCGATAAGCAGTGGTGATGGTTGACCAACAACATGAATGCAATTAATGTTATTGAACTATACACTTAAAAATTATTAAGGCAAGAGGGTATGGTGCCACCAACAGGTCGACCTGTACCTGTGGGGCAGGTGCATCAACAGCCTGATGGTGCCTTCAGACTTCCAGATAACCCAAAATTGCTGCTGTGCCTTTGGCCAGACCCCAAAAACTTGGGGCCAAGTTTACCACAAAATTAAACAGTGAAAAGTTGGGTATGTGGGAGGCACACCCAGAAACCCCCTCCGGCTCAGCTTTATAAGCTCATTTATTTCAGAGACCCATAAATCTAGAAAGAGATCAAAGGATGCAGTTAGGGCCTGTAACGCAGAATTAGGCAGGAACCTGTGACTGAGAGCTCCAGGACAGTTTGGATCGGGACTGGACCTCCTCCCCCCAGGTCTCCAGTTTTCCAGCAGCTTGGCAGTCACACCCACAAACTGCCCCCAGAGCCATGTAATCTCATCAATGGCCAAGACCCCGGGGCTATAAACTAAAACTCCTGAGAGAGCACCCAGAATGTTCTGACCCTGAGACAGGCTGTTTTCACCCAGGCGCCCCAGAGGGAGGTGGGTGAGAGTCCTCCCTGCCCCAAGGGACCCAGCTCTGGCAGCCAAAAACCTCCACAACCCAAGTGCCTCCAGGCTCTAGGCCGCCCACCATGCGCTCAGGCTGAGTCTCCCGCATGAGTGAAGTCCCAAGGAATCCAGGTAATGAGGAACTTTGTGACCTTGGACTCTGGGCTGAACGGGAGCCAGAAGCAGAGATCTTCTACCGGCTTTCCCCAGTCTCAGGCAAACCAGGGGTCATGCCCATAAACCACCCCCTGCCAGCGCCAGATAATCCTGTCATCAGCCACCGTCCAGATCGCACGGCTGCTTCTATAAAAGGGA